ATAGAAGGAGAAAGCCTGGCCCTGCTATCTCCTCTAGTCCTGTTCAAGATGTGACCGCTTGCTCCTACACGTTCTTGTTATGGTGTGCCTTCCGTCTCTGCCCTCATCAAAAGCCAAACCAGTGGGGCTGCCTGATCTTAAACTTTGAATTTCCACAACTGAGCAAAACTGACCTCCTTTTTTTCATAAGTGGCCTAAGTCCAGTATTTTGTTATAGTAATGAAAAGCTAATATTGGGAGTTTATGCTTCCCACCCCCATACCCATTTCTGGGTTGCGTAGAATTTGAAGTCCTGACCCCCCCCTTGAGGACAGTCTCTCCTCAGGAGATACAGTAAGAGTCCAGTGGAACTGCTGCCTGGACTCCTGTGTCTAGAGACTATTAGGCAAGAAGATGAACTTTGTCAGGATCAGAAGGAGATAGAGCTACTATTAAACTATGGGTTCAAGGGATAATGTGTGGTGATCCATCTTGGTGCCTCTTGGTATTCCTTTGCTCATTTGTGACTGTGACAGACAAATGTAGCAATCCCAGCACAAGCACTATATGATTACCAGAATACTCAGGAATTCAGGTTTGCAGAAAACCACCAGGTAAGCCACCAAGACCAGCAGAGCCAATGGCCAAGGAGATACAATGAATAGTGGAAGAGGGAGACAGTAGGCACCAGTTGTGGCCCTGAAATCAACTGCAGTGACAGGGGTTATAGTTCACTCCCCTAACCTCCGTTTCCCAAGTTTCACCTCAGGAAGAGAGCCCACTCCCCGAGCCCTAGCAGAGCCTCACCCTACCCCCATCACAGATGGTTGGACCTATACTTGCTTGGGGTGGACTGGGACAGACGTGAAGATGCATCTCTCAGATCCACCTTCAATGAGTTCTGGCTGCAAGGAGTACGGTGAACGGACAGCTTCTAGTGGTTGCTCCTTCAGTATGTACATCAGTGTTCAAGTAGAGATTACATTCTCATTGGTGAAAGGTCTGAGCCATTTCTGGTCAAGGCAGGACTAGGTTAACGAAACATCTCCACTTCAGAAGATCCCATGGGACTGGCTGCCTTTTTTTAGGTTTGCAGTGCAGTCCAGTCTGAGGACCTCCAATCTTTCTGCTGCCTGTTTTTTCTTAGGTGACACTCCGCACAGATTTTCTGCACTCCCCACTCCACCTTAGCACCTGCTTCCTGGGGAACTGAGCCTGTGACACTGGTGCCTTGATCACTTAACAAGCCCTCTACAACTGATCGCTTTGTTTTTCTATAAAGTGAACTATGCGGAGTCCAGACTTCAGTAGTGAGGTTATTTCTACCACTGATGCACTGACCTGACTAAACGGTGTCCAGCCTCCCAGCTGTAGCTCAGTAGGTGTGATTACATCTGGGCATACATTCATTCTCTCTGGAGAGGGTAATGCTACCCATGGCAGAATCCTTGAAGTAGCTGAGGTAATGGAGAAAAGGCAAGTGGGATCCTTAAGACTTCTCTAAATAGTAATGACATTAACAAAAAATTCTCAAGAGATTTTCACATCTCTAAGTTTGTCTCTTACTTAGAATCTTCATTCCTGGACCTTTGGGGTAACTTTCATAAAGTGGGTGATCAAGCAGTCTATTCATTTTTCATTCTTGAATGCCCTAAGGTAGTATTTCTAAAACTTCTCATAATTATTAAGATAATGGAAATAATCATTCTGCACACTGTGAGAATTGAGTTTAAATAGAACGAAAGCTTTTAGAATCCATCTTTTTGAATATTATTTGCCTGCAAATTATATTTCTTTTTGTGGTGGCCCCACTCATTCTAGACTCTGGGTTTGGGCTAATATTAATACAAAAAACAAGGTATTATATTTTTGAAAATCACTTGGAGTGACACTTATTAATGTTTATTAAATAATCAGCAATATTTTTTAGATCTAAGGGCTCAGTAACAAAGGATCTTAATCAGTGAAATTTAAAAGACTGAAATGTATTTTCTAAAAACAACTCAAGTGTCTCCAGCCAAGTAGTTTTTAATAGCTAATTCTAACTCACATAACCCCAAAATGCACAATGGCTGTTCTAATATTCCTGCTAGCATCAGGAATAATGTTTTGTTTTTCTTTTTAAGTGGAGGGCACAGACACATCCTATTCCCCATCACCCAAGGACCTCCATGTAGCTTCCCCACAAGAGAGTTCAGGGGCAGGCAAAAGCCACTTCTGACTGGAGCTTATTTATTCTGGACATAGGCACAGTACTGTAAGGCAATTAATCCATCACTCTTCAGGGGCACTCAGCTGAACCAAGTGCTCACACATCATTAAAGATAAATAATACGTATACCTTCTGCTATGGAGATGAACTCTCACTTAGCAATGATTAAAAATCACTGGTTCCAATGGAAAGATGACTTGTAAGATAGGCTACATGTGTGGTTCACCAAATCAGTTGTACGCTGAATACAAGTGGCTAGGTTTGCAATGTCTGATTGTGAAGAAGGCCACCTTGGCTGCACTAACCATCACATCAAGCTCAAGATCACTGATGTCTTTGACTTTGCAGGGATGTGAAAAATACTACCAGAAAAAAAAATACTCATTTTGCATAACCCCAGTAGTTTGGCAATCTCCACCAAGATCACAAACACTTTGACCTTTTCATCCAGCAGTCTCACTTCTGGGAATGTATTCTACAGATGTATTCAAACATGTCAAAGAACATACGCTGTTTACTGAAGCAAATTGATAGATTATAGCTCATCTACAAAATGAATACTCATATTGTATACAAAGGACAGGCGATTCCCTCTGTACAGAGGTCTCCAAGACACAGTCTAAGTGAAGAAGCAAGGTGCATGATAGTGGATAATATGCTAACTGTGCTGTATAAAGGGGGAACATAATTTGTCATTTGTTCTTATTTGTATAAACATACAAGAAATGAATGAAAACAGTTAAAGGTATTAGAATGAAACTTTTCAATATATCTTCATTACATTCCGGATTTTTAGATCATGTGCATGTTACCTATTTAAAAATTAAATTGAAGTGCTTTAAAGACTTTTGTAAGAAAATATGAAATCTATAACAAACAAAATTTTAACAATGGAGGCAGTTCATGTTGCCCTTGTTGTATTTCCTCACATCTGCCCTCAGATATGTTTGATATTTCATAAGGCATTTTTCTATGTCATCTATATTTGTTGACATCTGCCTCCCTGTCCCAAGTCTTATTAAACACCTTTACTGAATTACTTAGAGTGACTAGGTAGCATTCAAGGGTTAGGAGACTGTGAAAGACTCAACAAACTGGAAGTGCATTGTAATTTTTTTTGGCATATCTGTATCTTACAGACTGTAATAGATAACCTGTCTCCTCTAGTTGGAAGCAATATTTATGTTCTTTACAAGGCTCCTTCATGAATGGTAAGGAGAAACGATAGCAGTTGATAGCCTCATCCTTTCTCACCGCGAACCCTTTGGGGAAGGCTCTATAAACACTGGAACTTCACTTGGAACACTGGGTCCCCTTGACGCAAGTCGGAGTCGGAAGTGAGCGGCCTCCCTCACGTTTGGTTGTCTACTAAAACCAAGTTTTAAGGCTCTAGAACATTCCCAAGTTAAAAACCAAGTTTTTCATCTTCTTGCATCATATGACTGGCTCACTTACTTGTCTCCGTGGCACCCATCAGAAGTATCGAGTATAGCGTTTTAGAGGACCAGGGAAGACAGGAGACGTATTAACTACAATCTCACAATTCTGGAATCAGTATGAGGGCATATTCAAGACTGGAGTTAGAGCTATCCACTGTACCAGTGGTTCTGTTGCAGAGCCAGTTGATTTAGTAAATGGATGTTGAGGGCCACCTCATTTTTGTGTTCTAGTGAAATAAAGATTAATAATGCAGGTGTATATTGGGGGCAGGTATGGAGAGCTTTAGCAGCAGCCACAAAACAGTATGGCTACTTTAAGTGCATGGACTCTGCAAATTACTTGTGCTTGAATCCTGGCCTTGTTGTCATTTACCAACGTGACTTTTGGCAGGTTACTTAACTCATAAATTTCCCCCGGACTAGTAAGAAAATGGGAATGACAGTGCCAACCTAGACCAAGTGGGAACTTCTCTTCCAAGGAGATGGAAAGAGACATGTGACTTCAAAGGCAGACCTCTTGTTTTATGTGCATTCTGGTAACTGGAGAAAGTCACAGCATTTTCAGGCCAATAGTTAGTGGATGTCAGGTATATGGCTACCTTGTCAGTACTCAGAGCTCAAATTGAAAAGTAACCAAATAGAATCTAGCACAAAAGTTACAATTCCTTGAAATCTGAATAGCAAGCAGAAATAATCTTAAATTTAAACAGATTAGATACTTATGCACTTCTGAAGCATTAAGAGAGAAATTCAAGGACTATGTCTTTTTAATATAGAAATAAAGACTAGTCCTTGGATCTTAATTCTTGGTAGAAGGTTAATTCACAACAGCTTACCAAGAAATTATTCATAAGTAGATAGGGATCAAATGTCCAAACCTCTAATACTTCTAGAATATTATCTTCAAAAGGAAAAGGTAACCCTTGAATAAAAACCCTTAAATAAAACCCTTGAATAATAAACAAATTTTTATTTCACCAAAATGGTATTTTCTCCTTTTTTCAAGTCCCCAAATGAGATTGTCAATCTTACTGAAAAACAAAGGAGTGCCAAATATCTCAAAAGAGAGTTTTTACCCTCAAAGGATTAAAAGGGAGTATGGAAAGCATGTTAAAACTGCAACATTTTACTAACAGAAAAGCACTAACACATTTCTTATAAATCTTTGTTTTGTGATTTTCAGCTCCAGCAAAATTCTATGTAAGTTTATTGAAATGGTTGGATTCATTTTAGCTTAGGCCAGTCCGCCAAAGAACTGAACCACAGAACTGATGTCCATTTTAGCTGTATAAAAATAAACATGTATCTCTGACCCAACACTCCAGGAAAAAATCAGAACACAAAGAGAAAATGGACTTGGATTTTTAATTTTTTAAAGATTATCTATATATATGTTAATAAAAAGTGCAAAGAATAGACCTTCATGTTTAAATTATATTTTAAAATAAAATATATATTTCCATTAACTGCAGGAGACAACTGGCAAGTAAGAGCCTGAGAGAGTCCAGTCCCTCTCCGCCACTACAATGGACATACATTTTAAGGAAGCACCTATGAAAATAGTAGTGTTCATAACACATCTGGCGACACAGAGAGCTTCTGGGTGTTGTTGAAAGCAGTTTGTCTGCATTTTCAATCTAACATGAAATGAAGGGAAAGATCAAAGTCATAAACAGAAATGACACTGCTTAGAACACTCCAGTATTCTGAATTCATGTTTTACTTGCCCCGGAGCCTAGCATTCCCGTATCACAGCCACACTCCCACGTGCGTTGGTAAAAGCTGTCAGCGGCGTGCCTCACGAGGAAATCAACTCTGTGCAACAAGTATCCTAACACTGCTGGCTTAGCAACACAGCTGAAAAGCCTGGTTAGAATTGCATTTGCTTTTTTCCTTTTTTAAGGTAAACATTAAAAACCAAACAAACTGGCATTACAGCACTCTGCTCTGTAACACACAGGCAAGCTTATGTTCTGGGCTTCATTTTTACCAAAAGGTCTTAAAAACAAGGGGCTACGATCTCTGCTACTTTCTTATGTACTTATAACGATAGGTTGCAAAAACAAGAAAAATTTTTAGCAATAAAGAAATAGGACTTGGGATTATTTTTTAAACCAATCCAGGATATTTCAACAATTCAAATTTAGAAATTGACTTCTACTGTGGCTTCAGCAGCTACCCAGCCACGCGTCAAAAGGAGCCCTTGATTTCAATTTGGCCTTCTTTTATTAATCCTTTCCTTTTTCATAACTGACAAGAATTTCTATTTTAAAAACGATGTTCAACACACTGTGCCCAAAGCAACGTATCTGTAATACTGGCTAGGACAGGATTTTGCCTCATAAATGTCAACAGTATGCTCCCTCTCAATCTGGGTGAAGTCCGTATTAAAATACAGACACGCTATAGATTATCTACTATGCATAACTTGCAGACTCAAAGGTCCATGGTCTCTTCTCTCCTCCTTGTGGGCCTGTTAGAAAAATAATTTTGGTTTCAAGTGTCTACAGAGCACCAATTTTATTTCAAAAGCAGCATCTTTACTCAGCCACCTAAATGAATCTATAAGTACACAAAAAGTTTCTCTCACTTACTTCTGTTCCATAACTCTGAAAGACCAGTAATTGTATAGAGATTTTCTTAATCAAAAATTATTCAGCAATTATTAAAACCATCAATTACAATGCCCTAAAAATACCCACTTCAGCTGATTTAGATGAGAAATTCCCTTTACATGCAACTGTATAATAAAAGAATTATGCCTGCAGTTGATAAACACTGTGTTCTGTAATAACAGAAGATCTCTAATAGTAAAAAAGCATTTCATAAAACTTTGTCATATATAAAATATCTTATTGTGACAATTCCACTTATGATTAAAGCATAAGTGTTCACTCTGCCTTCTGCTGTGGGACAGCGGGGGTCGTACAACTTTAAAAAATAAGTCAATCTGTTTCCAGGCTGACAAAAGCAACAGGCTCAATTACTGTTTCTCTCCCAAACTCCTCTGCACTCGTGCACACATACACAAAGCACCCACAGTTTTAATCTTTTATGAGACTGTTGCCACACTTTTTCCCTATTTCTAAAATCCACCAAATGTGACTGTAAAATAATTGTTTTTGTCTATACCCAGCCTGGATGAAAGATATAGTCTGCAGCAGAAGGAGAACAGGCCTCATTCGTCTTTCTCAAACCCTTTGGTTTCCACCGTTAGTGTTACAGTGAATGCAGATTTGCCTCAGCAGGCCTGAGTCAAAGGCGTTACAGCTACTGTACCTGAAGTGTTTCAAGAGAATAAACACCTGCCACCGTGGCACAGGAAAATTTAAAATATAGCCATAAAAACACAATTCCCACACTCAAAGGATTTACAAGTCATCTAAAAATTTCTTAAGAAATAAAACTTGTAGGAGGGGTGTAATCAGGTAACAAAGGTCAAAAGGTCAAACGCAACCAGATAATAATTGCATTCTTAGAAAAATACTTTAACCACCTACTTCCCGCCCTACTTAAGCTAAGTATTTCTCAGGTCTCCCACTCGTAAACACAGTGGACTATGAAAGATATATGTTAAAGAAAGGGGTTACATCTGACTAATAAAGGAATGCAAGAGCAAAGATTTCAGAGTAGGTAAGGGATGAGCTTTTGAAGAAGTGCTTGCATGTGCTTCTGTGAAAAATATGACTTGGAGGCAATTAGGGAGTTTTGACAATTAAGTTTCACTTGTAGATTAGGCAGTTGTTTCTCTTTAGGGGCAACTGAATTGAAATGGAAAATAAAACAAACTATTTATGACATCACAAAAGCTTGTAGAACTAGGAATCAAAGCTCCCTTTGATGAAAATTTCCCACTTTTAATGCAAAGTACAAGAGCAGGGGCTTCAGGTTCTCCCGAGGTCCCCCCTCATTTCCTCACATACCACAGGCAGTTTATTAGCAGACTCTCTGCTCTGCTGGCATGTATTCTATTGGATTCCTCATATAGTCAGGCTTCTATTTCCAATAGCTTAAGTAATGAAAAAGAAAGATGTGAGGAAATACATTCAATAAGCACAGGTAAAAGAACTCTGGAGCCTGACATATTTCATGTTGCAGAAGTGATGGCTGACATGATATACAAGGGACATTAAAGTGAGATAGTAGCACACAGACCAGACTGCTCTGCCCATGCTTCTGGAATAACAGCAAGTTTTCCTGGAGTTCTAACACTCCATTTATCCTTCTCAAGATCCTAACAGAGTTATACGTTCTTACTGAGTACCTGAGATCAGAATCAGGTGAAAAATGCTTAACACACTCAAAATTATTTCAAAAGGGAGAAATGAGAAAAAAAATCACTCAAACTGAGAAAAAAGAAGTTAATTATGAACAGAATCTAACCATTAAATAAGCATGTACTGACACAAGCTAAAGTGAACCAGAAAGGAAAAGAGGGAGAGGGAAGGAAAGAACCACGCAACAGAAGTGCTGGCCCTTCCTGAGAAGACACCTTGTCTACTGATGTAAACGCTGCAAGCCACCCTTCCAAGGGGGACGCTATTCACACCATCTTCACAAGGACCCCTAGCAGTACTGATAACCCCGGTGAGCACAGTAAGAAGTCAGTGATGACACTGTCATCTTTCATGAGGGCACGTGGACTGGAGATGTGGCCAATTCTGCTGTCTGAGCCAAAGAAATCTCTGGTAGAAAATACCAAAACCAGCCCCCTACCCATTCTAGGGGAAAGAAAATATACAAAATCTGTCCCAAAGCGAAACAAAACAAATGAAAACAACCTTCTCCCTCCTAAAGAAAACCACATTGAAATGAGTGCCCTGCAAAAGCCCATGTGCATTCACAAGGCTGGTAGAGGTTATTTTGTTTTGGACTCTACATAAATTTTATCTCCATCCCTAATGCCAAAGGAGTGCAATGCCCGAGAGCTGTACTTCATTTCTTCTGGGCCAAAAGGTGCTTCATGGTCCAAGTAGTAGAGCAGCATGTTGCTTGTAGGCAACTGCACAAGAGTTTTTAATTGTTTCTTTAGTTCTGCAACTGTTTGGTCCAGTCGAATGCTCATTTCCTCCACTTGGTCATTAAAGTGGACTTCTACTTTCGCACTGCTCTGGGGTCTTAGGTCCACTTCTGCCAAAGGCTCCAATTTCCCATATTTTGTGATCAGTTCATGATACCTGGAAGGATGAAAACAACAGTGTCAGCTTAAACTATTACCTCTTGAACTATGGACTATGGACTTCTGAACTATAGGTAAACTATACTGCTACTTTCAACATTTTTTAATATCTAATATTATCCCTCTTTTCCTATGTACATATGTAGGTATGTGTGTATATATTTATACTTATGTATTACCTAGCTGTTGAATGACTATTGGCAATTCTATGACCTGATACAGTTGCTTTGTTGAGGCCATAGTAAAATCACATTCTTGTGGATAGAGGAAGCATTTCTTCTCAAGATGATCACCATGCACAAGTGACACAAGAATACATTCAGAAGCCTGTGTGGTGGTGCACAACTGTAATCCCAGCACTCAGGAGGCTGAGGCAGGAAGATTACACGTTTGAGGCCAGCTTGGGCTACATTCTAAGACCCTGGCTCAAAAAAGAAAAAAAAATAGGTTTAGAAAGGAAATAGAACCTAGAAAAGCAGGTGCTGGAAAGATAGAAAAGTCCAAGTCTCTGAAGAACTTGCTTTCTGGGTGTCTTTATCAAAGGCAGCTACCTAAGCACACATTGGTAAGATGGAAGTAGGTCAGCAGGTTCTGAGGCCCCAAAATGCTGTAACTTTTAGACAAAAACATGTACATTAGTATGACCCAGGTCTTTCAATGAGCCTTGTTTGAATGTACAGTCTAGTCTCAACTGCAATACAAGGAATTTATAGAAGAGTCAAAGATACATTCTTAGAAAAAAGTGGTAAATAAGGAATGTTCTTTATCAAGGCAAGAATAAAAACCAAAGTACAACAAGAGGAAAATTTCAGAGATGTGGACAGCATCTACAAAGTTTAGCTCCTCCAGTCCTGGAGAATCTAGGTCTGCTTTTATTGAGGAAGCTGGAAAAAATGCCAAGAAGATTTAATATTAGTTTTATTATTACTAAGATACCTGAGGGTAATTAAGGATCAGAACACCATAGTTACGTAAGATTATTTTCCAACCTCTCCCATTCCACTTTTGACTTTTACTCAATAAATCGTAATAGGTGTCATGATAAAGTCCGCAGGAACATTAATGACATAGTAAGACATCTGTGCCTGGAGATGGAGCAATCATCTCCTTTAAGTGGAGTAACGAGATGGTAAAAATAGCGCTGGCTCTGCTGAGAGTCTTGACTCCATCTTGTACTTAGCTGTGTGACTTGGCTTCTCACTTAATCCTTTTGGATTGCAGCTTCCTAATTAGTAAAGATAGGATAAACCCTACGCTTCCTACATTAAAAGACAGACACAAGAATTAAAACAACAGATGAGCAAACACTGTAAATTCTAAGTTCATCTACAAATAAAAATGTTAACCTTATATCCCTGCTACTCTGGAGCTGACATTATTAAAACACACACACACCCTTAGAAAATATAAGAATGAAATCTACTTAAGTGGGACTTCTTAGAAAAGGTGTAGACATGATCAAACAGCTCATAGAATCCACTCCCAGGAATTGAGCCAAAAATAGTTTTTTGTTTGTTTGGTTAGTTGGTTTTTTTCTTTTTAATTTATTTGCTTATTTGTTTGAGGCAGGGTCTTTCTATATAGCATAGTTTGGCTTCAAACTCATGATCCTCCTGCCTCAGCTTCTGAAGTGCTAGGATTACAGGTATGCACCACCATGCTTAGTCAAAAGTAACATTTTTAAAAGGGATTTTAAAAATCACTCGCAACAACAAAAGAAGTACCACAACCTATTGCTATACCTTTTAAAAGGAATAAAAAAATGTGTCTGATGTGGCTCAGCTCTTCAAGGATCTGATTAGAAAGTACTAATGAAGAATGAAAGTACAAAGTGCTGAGCACACTGACTAATACTTCCACACTTAAAGAAGATCAAGGCGGGGAAGGAGTCAGCTAGGTTAATGGAAAACGAGGTTGAAGACAAACTTTGGGATCAGAAGCCTTAACATCTACTGCCAGGATATCAGCATTTTAGCAAAGGCAAACAAACAAGACAAAAAGCCCAAACAAACAAACAAAAACCAAAACTACCAGGTTTTGAAATTGCTTAAGGCTCCAAACTTAAAAAGGTAAAATGACTCAAAGTCTAAGAGTATCTTTTCCAGACCCCATTTCCTTCAAATGAGTGAAAATAGATCATGATTATTTAGCAAAATCTCAGAAAAGATGGCAGAACCCATGTGGTCAAACATGAGTTGAACCTCAACTCCAGAGATGTTTTCCCTTCAGCCCAAAGAATAATGATGCCCAGCCCTTACACTTTGCCCAGGAGACAAAAGAAGCAATGCAAAGAGATCAAGGAGAGTTAGCTTAGGCTTTGCTTCAGCAAAGAGGTGGTCTCAAGAGAAGTGCCCACTTTTCAGCATAAACAACAAGACAAAATGATAAGTAAGCACACACCACAGAAGAAAGAATGAAGGAACATATAAATAATTAAAAAGTAGAGGCAGAACTCAATCTGAAAGCAATCATAACAGAGAGAAGAAAATGCCCCACAAGAAATTAATAGGTGTATGAATAAAAAAAAAAAAAGCCCAAGAGCTCAAAGGAAGAGTTTAGAGCTAAACAAACTTAAGGAATGAAGCAACACCATTGCTGACCAAATAAATTAGAAGTCATGACCAAGGATATTATATACAGTTGTTTAGTAATAAATTCAACAAGTAGCTATTATGATACAAGACCGAGGGTACAGAGTACCTATGAGTCCTCTTGGGGATGTGTGGGAGGAAAACAACCAAAATCATTCAACAATGAGATTAAAGAACTAGCAATAAGTCTTGAATCTATTTAAATCTAAAACTTATCATAATAATTGTGATACTTCAAGACTTATTTATACTTGATACTATAGTCAACTGAATTAATTTCAACCACAAACATATTTGTAGATAAAGTTATAACCACATGCAGAAATCAGCAAATGTATTTATGAGTTAAATGACCTATAAATTGTAACTGTAAAGCCCTACAGTTTTCTTAACATCAACATGTACAGAAATAATTCATTGCCACTCGCAACTATCTTCTCTTCTATTCTCTCATCTCAGCAAATAGTACTAAAAGCTACCTAATTATCGCAGCCAGAAACAGAGAGTCATTCTGATTCAGTCCCTTCATCTCTCTCCTCTCTACATCTCTCATTCAATCAGTATGTCTTACTGATTTCCTTCTCATTAATCTATCTCCATCTTCCCTGCCTACTTGCCTTGTAGCTGCAAGTCACTAATACTAACACAATCTGGATTGCTACATTTTCTTTAGATGCATAAACTACATTATCTTCTTCATTATCTGTCCCAACTGCTTCCTAGTAGGCATTCCTACATTGCAAAGCTGGAAAAATAAAAACTGCGTTCCCCATACTCTCTTGCAGATAAAATTTAGCTTCTAGCAATCAGTCAGCCCAGGGTTTCAACAGAGGTAGTGGAACCAGCAGATATGGTGTGGGAACAGTTTGGATAGCAGCTTCCTATTTACCAGACTGAAGTCCAAGCAATGTGTTCCTGGAGTCAACAGCTTGGCAGCAGCTGGCTGATATCCAGACCACAACTAAAGTGATGTGGTCAGCACCAAGGACAGCAGCCTGCTGTCAAACCCCCCCCCCCCCAACCTTTGCCTGATTCTGGCAGAAGTAGCAATGCTTGGTGGGCCAGTACTGTGCTATTACTCAAAAGGCAATCTAAGGGAGACAGCTTAAATCTGCTCTTCCAACACTTCCAAAGGTTTTATAAACATTTTATTCACTGTATGCAATTTCTTTCTTCTTAAAACAGCTAATTGCTTTCCAAGACTTCACGGTGGCCCCAGGGAAGTTCTTGTCTATATTATCGACAAAGTATTCATAATAAAACATAAATTTGATCTCCTCATCCCTTTACTTAAAACACACAACACTCATCAGAATAAGCTCTAATTCTTTAATATGATTGTGGTAGGCAAAATCTGGTTCTCGTATCTGGGTGGGCCTAATCTAAAATCTGGTAAGTTTCTTCAGATAGTAGCAGAAGAGAAAACCATTCAGATCCTCCAACTAGCAGCATGAGAAGGCCTTGACATAACATTACTGGCTCAAAGATGGAGAGAACCACATGGAAAATTTAAGAAGGAAGAGAATTCTACATCATCCCAAATGAGCCTGCAAAGTGGCGCTTTCTTCTCCAGAGCCTCCAGTAAGGGAAAGAGCCATGCTGACACCTTGATTCCAGCCTCATGAAACCCACAAGAGCCATACTACCCAGACTTCTGGCCCATAGAAAATGTGACATAATCAGCAGGCACTGTGTTGAGTCTGAGGGTTTATAGTAATTTGTGACAGTAGCCATAAAAAACAAGAAGGTCCTTCATGATCTGGTTCCTTCATAACTTTCCAACTTTATTTGGTGCTGTCCCCACTGCCACTTTCTATACCCTCCTTTCTACTACTCATTTAAACATTAAAATCAACATTTACTTATCAATTTGCAGGTGAGGCTATCAAATTTTTGTATATGGGTTAATTTTGGATGTGAGCTATGAAAGAAACATCTACCATTAAACAGAAACAAAGAAAGAATATTAAAGTATGATTATGAACACTAGATGTGTTCCCTGAAAAGTTACATAAATTAAAAGCATAATTTTAAGATGATGCATTTACTTTCAGTTTTTTAATTCTGCAGCTTGCCTTTAACAGGAAAAATCAGAAAATATAACAAGTCCTAATTTTGCAAAATTCTCAGCAAATTTTAGAAACCAATTTCTTCCTAGTCTTCCAGCTTGGATATTTTATGCATATCCAAACTGAAACTGTATTAACTGAGCTTTTCTTAATATCAGTTCAATGACTTCCCAAAGCAATAGTTTAGGAGGTAAATTGTTTCTGATGACTAAGAATTTTTCAGAACTAATTATCTCAACTTGTATTCTGCCAATCAGTATCTTCATATGGCTATTAACAAGTAATCTAATACTTGTTAATATTGGTTCTTCTCTGGAGAAGAACCACTTTGCAGGCTC